AAGATGGTGGGAGGGGAGGGATGGTGGAAGAGAGGCTGGTGGATAGGAGAGGGGCGTAGACAACGAAACCGCAGCTCAGCCCATGCGCAGGCTCAATATCCGTAAGCAAGAGAGAGGCCTGAGGAAGGAGGGGATACAAATGAGAGAGGTGGAGGGAGGGCTGGGATGAGGAGAGGGGATAACAACGAACCGGCAGGCCAAGGCCATGCAGGCAACCGGGTAAGCAAGAGAAAGGCTGAGGAAAGGAGATGACAGAAGGAGAGGATGGTGGAGGGAGGATGTGGAAGGGGGCTTGTGGCGGGAAGGCTGGTGAAGGGAGAGGCGGACTAGACCACGAAACCCGCAGCTCAGGACACATGCAGCTCAACCGATAAGCAAGGCAGACTTAACGCCGACTCCACCACTGAAGGTTGAAACAGGGGGGAGGGGAGGAGAGGGGAGGGATGACTGAAGGAGAGGTTGATGGGGGGAGGCTGACATGAAAGTGGCGGGGATAGGAAGGACTGGTGGAAAGGGAGAGGAACGTAGACAACGAACGCGCAGCTCAAGCACCAGAGGCTCAACACCGCTAAGCAAGAAAGAGGCTGAGGAAGGAGGATTGGAGAGCGGGCTGGTGAAGGAGAGGGAAAGTGAATGGCTTGTGAAGGGAGATGGGAAGTATAGACAACGAACCTGCTGCTCAAGCCTATGCAGGCTCAACCGGTAAATACAGGAGATGTACACCAGACTCACAACATGCATGATGGACGAGGCACCAGGGGAGGGAGGAAGGAACAGGATGGCATTAATGGAGGGGATATTGTGGGAAGGGAGTTGACTATGCAAGTAACATGTGCTTACGCTCGAGCGCAGCGCTGAAAAGGGTGTACTAGGATATGTCTTTACTAGGCACTTCTAATTTTAACATATATTTTAAATTTAATTAGGTCAGGTTAGGGTAGGCACTTTTTAGGTTTTTGCATCATTCTTTAATATATCGTAAAAAATATATGTTTAAAATAAGAAGTGCCTAGTTAAACATATCCTAACACCCCTTTCAGCGGCTTGACAACGCTCCGAACATTGTCTGTGTCCATACTTCTGCCTCTGCTTGTTAAATTGATGATCGAGCTGAGTGCGCGGATCACTCGTATAGTGCTCAGCTTAGCTCGGGATTGCTGCCCTAGAATCCGAGCGCGGACATTACACGCGCAGAATTGCTACAAGTCTGGGTGAATCATACCGGAACTGTGTCGGGATACGGCGGAATTACGCTGGAACTGTTTCGGGAGTACGGCGAATTTAACGCGTGGAAACTGTTCCAGAGTATGGCGGTATTACCTCTGCGATTCGGTTTCTGGGGTCTTATGGCGTTACCATGAAACGCACTCTCTGTGTCCGTAATAGGGCTTGGTGTAAACGCATACGATAATGATGAAATCCATCCAGCATCACCATCAACAACTCAGTAAGCATACCCTGCTCATGCAATCGTAATAACATTCATGGTATAACAGGGTAGAAAATTGAGCTTTGAGTTTGGACTCCCTACCCTCAAAAGGAGAGGATTCCGCAGGCAAAATGAGGGAGTCCGCAGTCTGGTTCAAAAATTTAAAGATTAACAATAACGCATGTAGGTATTTTAAGATTCTCATGCGGGTTTGGCATCTCCTGCCAAATTTTTTGGACATTAGGCTGAAAAAATAACAGTAATTCCCGCGAGACGCGTGCTTCGCACGCAAACTAAATAGTTAGTATAGGCAGAATTTTCAGAGTCCACACTGACTCCTGCAATATGGTCAAATCAGGGAGTCCGACAGTAAATCCAGGGAGTATTTGACTGCCGGACTCCGTAATCTTCGCACCGCTGTAAGCATGGCATGATGGCATATATATATATAACATGATCCCGCGGTGTTATTTAAATCCGTCAGTCCTACGCTCGTGCGCTGCGTATACTTATATATCTTACATCTGCTCTTCAATATATACCAATTTTGCTCTTATCTCCCCGCTGTAACGCGCGTACCTTCGCGATCAATCCGCAAGGCCTTCCGCATGCCTCATCCTCGAACGAACCTGCGAACTGAATCTCAAGCTTCGAAACAATCCTCGCGAGCAGATGCGCGTCTCGTCATCCGCGGCGCCGACGAACGAACGCATCATCGTGTCGCCGGCATCTCTGCTTCTGCTCCGCATGGATGCTGCTGCCTACCGTGGCGGTGAAGGACAGTCGGCAGGAGGAAGGAGGAGGAGAGGAAGAGAGCGTGAGAGTTTCACCACGGCCGGCGACGTGTCCACAGCACGGCCACGCGAATCTCGGCGGACAAGCTGAAGGGGCTATGAATGAACCATGATTGACGCGCTGGAGAGAAACTCGTGATGTAAGCCCCACGAACCACCCTCAACCTGCTGCCGACCCCCGCCCCCCGCCCTTCCCCGCTCCGACCCGCGGGCCGCCCGCCCTCGCCCGCCGCACGCCTGGCCCCCGCGCAGGCGTCTATATGTCTGATGGTCTATGTGTGAAGGAGGCAGATAACCAGATTGACGGCACTGGGAGAGAAGCTTGATGTAAGCCGCGCGCCACTGCCGCTCCCCCGCACGTCCGCGCCCGCGCGCTCTGGCCCACCAACCACGGCTTGCGCCCTGCCGCTCGCCGGCACCGCGTCCATCGCTGTGGTTCTTACACTGCAGTTTTCCTATATTCCTGATATATATTGATTATTAAGATGATTCCTAATTTATAAAAAAAATATTGTGCTAACTATTCCTATAATTACATTCCTATATCTGGTATTAGGACATTTCAGGTGGTTCATGCACTGCTGTTTGGCACATAACTCCTCGCCCGCGGAGGGAATGACGGGGCTTGCGTGTGCGCAGTTGTGTGTATTGCGGCACACGATGATAAACACACACATATATATATAATATATATATATATAGTATATAATATATATATATTATCATATCAAAGGGTTGGATAATAGAAAGAGTATGTCATCCGTTTTAACCAGCGTTTTGCATAGTTTTTGAAAGCTGGTAATCTAATCCTCATCAATATGTGAATAAATATATTGCAAATACTTTACGCATTGATTTTCGTCATATTCTCGCCGCTTACATCATAATGACACACACCGAATTACCGTTGAAAATGCCGTATGTGTTCTCAAAAAGTTGTCTTGAATACGATCAGGCGGTTTCCGTAAGCAGTTTTCACGCATGAATGCATCTCTCCACCGCAACTTCTTATGGGAGCTAGTGTTGCTCTGTGTCTATGAGCGTAACGCTGGGGGCGCGTAAGGGAATCAGCTGCTAGCCTAGCTGCCGTGAGGCGGCATTTATTTATTAGCACGCTGGACAACGCACTGCACGGCTGAGATAGCAATTCGATGCCTAATATCCGCATACGACCCCAAAAGTTCCGTCATAGACAATAGAACACTAATCCGCATAACAGGAAGTTCGGTCGGAGAGATGTATCATGTGTTTATGAACTGTGGAATCCGTGTGGCGTATTCAACTAACTTTTTGAAGAACACATACCGATTTTCAGGTAAATTGGTGGTGTCATATGATTATAGAGGGGAGAATCATAGACCGAAAACAAGGTAAAGTTTGAATATATTTATCAACATTATTGGTAGATTAGTGTACCCAAGTTGCAAACTATGCAAAACGCTGTTTAAAAACGTGACATACTCTTCCTATTATCCACTTCTTGATATATATGAATAACACAAACACACGCACACACACACAGTGAGAGAGAGAGAGAGAGAGAGAGAGAGAGAGAGAGTGCGAAAGAAAGAGAGAGCGAGTGCGAAAGAAAGAGAGAGCGAGTGCGAGAGAGAGAGGGACAGACAGAGGGACAGACAGAGAGAGACCGAGAGAGAGAGAGAGAGAGAGAGAGAGAGAGAGAGAGAGAGAGAGAGAGAGAGAGAGAGAGCGAGAGAGAGAGCGCGCGAAAGAGAGAGAAAGAGAGAAACCGACTCACACACACACGCCGACAGATAAAAATAACAAGCCAGCCGAGATACAAACCATCAAATGCACACAAGCCTCGCTCGAGGCAACGACCCTTACCTGCACAGATCAGCGCGACCCGAGACAGATCAGGACGACAGCATGGGGGTGTTTCTGTTGGTCGATAAAGAAAGTCAATACCTTCCCACTAAAGCCTGCCGCACACACTGTGGAACTGTGTGGCAAGTGGGCACAGCAAGTTCCACAACGCGTGCGCGGCGGGCTTTGGAGACCGACTCACTCACAGGCACTTGGAGCATGTCAATAAAATATAATGCTAAATAAATACGAAATCTATTTACTACCAATGTTTCTCTACTCTCTTAATTTCGTCTATTATTGCCGACAATTTCCTGTAAATCCTGTGCAAATGCTCCTCTGTGCGGCAACTTGCGTGCGGTGTACATGTGTGTTGTATATGAGCATTTGCACGGCATTTACAGGAAATTGTCGGCAATAATAGGCGAAAAAGAGTAGAGAAACATTAAGACTTTGGTAGTAAATCGATTTCGTATTTATTTAGCATTATATTTTATTGAAACGCTCGAAGTGCATGTGGACTCACAGGCCTCGCTGATTCACGCTATCCTAGTACATGCATGCCACTGATCATATTATACACTAACTGTTGGTACATACAGAGATCAATGGTACATGCACGACCGCTCTGTGTTCAAAAGGTGTTGTACAACAGTAGAGGGCGTCCATAGGCAGCATGCTTGAATAAGCATCGAACAAACATTAATCGAAAATTCTCAAATTAAACAAACTACTAATTAGACTAATGCTTATTAAAATATTATTATTTAAACAAGAGCCGCAGAGCGTCTGGGCTCATCTGAGGTCTGTTGCTATGATTATAAACGTAAAATTTCAGTCGTGCGTAGTACCACATTTGTTAGGCGCAGATATGCAGACACGCAGTTGCGTACACATCATTGTTAGGACACGCCCACTACCCCTCCCTTCCTCAGCCTCTCTCTCTTGCTTACCGGTTGTCCCTGCATGGCCTGAGCCTGCGGTTCGTTGTCGACGACGGCGACCGCCTCTCGTATGTTCTCGTCCACGTCCTCGCGCCGCGCGCGCCCGGCCGCGGTGGCGCCACCTGCCACCATGTTGTACTCATCCAGCAGCGACGGCATTGCTACCAGAGCGCAGAGTGCTTTATGTGTACCTGCAAAGAAACATACGATACTGATGAGTGATGATAAGCGGTGGTGCATGAGGGAGAAGGGGGGGAACTTGGAGGAGGAAGGAGAGGTACGAAGGGCATGCCAGCAGAGCGCAGAGTGCTTATGTTTACCTGCAAAGAACAAAGCAGGAGAAGGGTGATGAGTGGTGGTGCACGAGGGAGAAGGGAGGAGCGTGTTGTGTGAGGAAGAAAGGAAAAAGCTTGGAAGAGGAGGAGATCGAGGTACTAAGGGGAGGGGGGTACAATGGGAATGCTGTACCTGTGAAGATGAAACAGCTTGTGATCATATCATGTATCTGCTACAGACTACACAGTCGCCTCCGTGATTATACCTTAGATTTTATGGTGCACATGCACTGTACACTGACATCGAATCGTTCCTGCTATCATAGAGTACAGCGTGTGTGCATCGCACCACTGATGCCACTGATGCCACTGATGGCATTAGACTGATTTGCAAGATTCATTGAGGCATGAGTCGACACGCAGGCTTCCGGGTATGAAAGCTGCATCAACACTCTAGGTCAACATGAGTGCGACTGTCCCCATGCAGTGTCCACTCTTCACGATCGACTAAGGACTAAAGGACTAAGTGCTCACTAAGAACTGGTGCAAGAGATTAAATGCATGTGTTTGACACCTTAATTACTACGAACAATTCACTAAATCAAGAAGTTAAGATGCTAGTTATACAGTTAAAGTTTGCCTTGCAAATTTACTCGATATTTCGTCGATGTCAGTTATATCATATTATTAAATAAACAGCCGGGTCGAGTATGTTTTAAAATCACTGCACGCCGACTTTTTATGCATGTATGCACAGTCAGTCAAACAAATGTGTTTGTTGATATAGAAACAGATAGTATATCATGGACAAACAGTACCCGAGTAGAAATAGAAGTAAAACAAGTGCCGCAGAGCGACAGCGCTCAACTGACGTGTACTGTAGCCAGGTATTCTTCTGATAAACTCACTGGCAACCGAATCAAGTGCGCCCTCCCGCCACCGCGTTTGCACTCAGAGCATATATCTAGGATACTACTAACACAGATCTAAAATCTATGATAGCTAGGCTTTGCTATACCAGTAGTACAGTACTAAAGATACAGCTGTGTAACTTTAATGACTTCACTATATTAACATGTTATCATGGATATGCGTCGAGCGCGAGCGTAGTGGTGGTGGTGGGGGGAGAA